CCCCCCCCCCCCAACTCTGTGGGGGACATTTGTTAGGCATTTGTATTACTTTTTTTGAAAAAATGCTGCAAATCCCCCACAAGGGGACTAGAATATATAACTGTGTAAATCCCCATGGCAGAGCTTCAGCAAGAGCACAAATATCTGACCCCACCCTATTTTCCATTTCTGGTTGATGGTGGAAGCAATAACTGTTGGAAATGGATCTTCATTAATTAAAACGTGTAACCAGGCTTTTAGCCAGGATTCTGTGAGTGGCTGCTCAATAACAAATATGCTAGGGAGCTCTGATGGCATGCCTCCCAGAAAAGTTTGAAAAATTGAAGTGCCTTAGGTGCGTTTTCTGCAATTTTCAGTTGATAAATGTATCGATCAGACTTGAATGGTCCTGAATGCTAATGCGTTGTTTTCATCACCAAAACACTAAAATAGATTGAAACTGAAGTTGCCTCTGCCCATACTAAATGCATTCAGTTGTGTTTCACAAACAAAACTAAGCAAAGATTGTTGCATGGCAAAGGTTTCTTAAATCAACGATTGTGGTCACTATAAAAATGATTGTGAAACAACACGTGCCGGTTTACAAGTTAGTACTTCATGTAGCCACCAACAAGCACTCCCCAGAAGGAACGCTTCTTCCTGGTTACACAAAGTTCCTCTCGGTGAAATTGGTTCGGTAACACACGTCATGCTCCACACGAATGTAAACGGGAAAATAGTGGGCGACATTCACCTATGAAGTAACCAAAGGAAACTGAAGTAGAAATAAGGTGATGGTGAGATGGTGTGTTCAAAAGCACTTCCTGAATCACTATAGAAATCAAGTGATTTCGTATGAACTATTGTAAAATTACTGAGTGTAAATCAACAAGATCTCTGCTTGATTTATTTATTTTTTCCTGAAAGGTGGTCATCCACAGGACGGCTGGACGGCCACATGGCCAAAAGCCTGCCTGTAACCATCACATTTGGAAACAATGGCGCACTTCTGGAAAGTAATAAAACTTTAACAATGTAATAACTGGCATTTTATTTCTCATATTTCTCAGGGGTTTCATGGCATTTTCAACAGGAGGGCAACTGGTTTTAGCAAATGCTCTACCCTGGGTCAAGAAATGTTGCTAAATGCCCAGCAAATGCTAAGGAGGGGAGCGGGGATAGAGGGACTTGGAATTGATAGAGCAATAATCCGCTTAACATGTTCACGCTCATTGAATTGCTAACAATAAAACTGGATTGTCCTTCGTTTAGGTATCCCCAATTGGATAATGTTCTTTTTACTGTCATCTGTCATCACAAGGTATTGCAACTGATTAAAGGGGATGAAATTTAACAGGAAGCATAAGGAGTAACATAATTTGACGTTTCAATGTATCTAACATCATAAAATTTGGAAACGTTGAATTACATTACTCCTTATATTTCTTGTTAAATGCCATAACAAGCAACTGACCATTCGAAATTTAATAGGACCATGTAAAAATAGACAGATTCATTGCTGAATGAACAATTAACCTCGTCAAAAAGAGACCAGTTCCAAACAGAAAGTTGTATGGTACCAACTAGCCATTTAGGTGCAAAAAATAAATACAAATTGACATGGAAAAAAAGGCAAAGCTTATTCATGTATAATTCTACAAAAATGCAAAGAATATCCATTGTGTATACAGTATGCACTGCTCATCTAATATTTCAAGAATATATGTGGAAAGATTTATCATTTATAAATATTGTTTACCCTCTTTCATTCAAAATCAGTGTGTGACCTTGGACAAATTAAAAATATTTGAATTTCAAATTCATGTCTCCACTCCTTCACAATTCTTATATACAAGGTTCAATTTAAACAGCTGGTTCTCTTGACATCATCTTGAAATCAATAGATAAATAAATTAATTAATTAATAGATAAATGTGGGGAGGAATAATTAAATTTTAAAAAAGGTTCAAATTTTCCCACCAAAGGTGAAAACTAGGCAATGTTTAAAATGAAAGAACAGAAATGAAAATAAAATAATTAGGCAACTATTTTTAAAGCAGAGAAAGCAAAAAAGTTATATTTATAACTTGACTAATTTGCTCGAGGTTACCAATTAACCTATATGGAGCTTTGTAAAAACATTTAATTTGAGAGTTGCTTTTGAAATGTAAAATATTAAAGGCCAAGTTTGTGACAAATGTGTACTACTCGATTGGTTTTCATGACACCGGTGTTAACGTACTAACCGGCAGAAGAATTAACAAATTGCACGTTACTTAAATATTTGTCGCAATACATGCAAATTTTAAAAGGTTGTTGAACTGAGAAGATCGAAATTAAAGAAAACAGGAAGTACAACACTTTTACCCAGTATAGCTCTGTATGATTCTATAGCAGGCCGGTTTTTCAAATGTTCTTGAAAAGTAACCGATAAAAAACACCACACTGCACATTGTTCAGGCTAATAACACCATTTCTATGGGAGATTTCAAGACTTAAACTTGGTATAGGGTATTTATACATGTGGGCGTTCGTGGACTATAACATATACACGCGTGCGTTTGGCCTTTTGCAGACTGTCTGTTGTTTCGGATAACATCGGCGTAAATTGACGGAATATTCGGCGCCAGGAACAATTGCCTATATTCAGGTTCCGACTGCAGGCTTTTGGTCTTGGCATATAGGTTCGAAGATCTTACTAGAACGTCCGTAAAATGCGCATGAATAAATTAAACCGCGTGACAGCAAAAGAATCGATCTCCACCTTATTTCTAATACACGTTGTTTTCGCCATTGACTGTCCCTCACAGACACACGGGGTGGTTCACGAAAATTAGGATAGCCGACCTCTAAAGTTACTTAAAAAAGGACAAGGCGGTCTGACTTGGAAATTACAAAACATGACATGATTCAACTAAAATTGTCGACCGTAAGTACAAAGACACGTACATGAACTGTCATTTTACGTCGACCGATATGAGCGCACAACCGTTAAATAAACTACGGTAAGCTTTAAAAAACAAAACAAAAAATACTCAGTACAGCAACATACATTCGGGGAATATATTATTTGGTTGGTGCTTAACTCGAGAAGTAACAGATGATCAATGAGATAATAAAAAAATATAGCTTAACTTCGCGAGATCGACTTTAATATACAGACCGAATCGAGAGAAAAATATACGACGCGGCCTGGTCAAGTCAATTCGTTCGAATTGACAAACAGTCACACCGAGAGACGAATGGCTACAGAGAATTTTCCCTTCGTGATATTTCAACGCTAAAGAGAGCAACTGCGGTTAAAGTAGATAGGCTGGTGGTCAAATAAGCTTAATTATACCTTTTGATCGAGGAAAGAACACGCCAACTCTTTCAAGGCCGAGAGGTCCTTTCCTTCAAAACCGTAAGTTTCCCGGGCCAATCCGCACTGGAAAGTAATGCCTCTCCGCGGACAGTCTTCACTCATGGCTCTACACACAAATCATCAAAGAATTTGCTCCTTGCATCAATCAAACACAACTTGAAAAGGCGACAAATTTGGCTAGGTAAAGAGTTATTACTCGCTACTGTCGCTACTGGAAATATTTCCCTAACAATATGGGCGACAACATTGTCACGTGACAGATACATATTGCCCGGCAAAAAGAGCGAATAAGACGTGTTTCCGGTGACGATGACTTCCGGTAGAGAAAAACAAACGCGACTACGGCCTTTTGTTAAGTGATTGTCACAAAAGCAATCAAGGGAAACAACAATTATAAAGGTCTGTATGCAGTTATGTCAAAGATTATGGCTGGGCAAATGTCTTTAGATTAGTTTATGACTCAATATCTGTCACTCGTAACTAATTCAACAAAGAGGAACAAGCCATTATTTTTTCCTGTTTCGCAGTAAAAGGAAGTAAATTTGCAGCAAACGTGATTTTTCGAATGATTGCGCAATATATGTTTGATATATTAGTCGGCTGCTACAAGCTTTGACTGGATGCACGCAAATTTTCCAGTGAAAAGGTGGTAGCTTTTGCACTTTTCCCTTCAAGTTATTTTGCACGAAAAACGCTTCGCTTTCTACATTCACATTAGCGCCGTGACAAATCAGGTTACGGCATGAATTAAGTCTGATGACGTAAATACACTTGTCCCGTCTGTAATACGTCACAGCATATGTAACTGCAACTCGCGTGACGTCAGAACCGCTTTAAAAATAGATTAAAAGCCCCTCAACCAGCTGTGAGACTGCGTCTGTTTGTTAGTTACTTGTAAACAGAGCAGTTTAAGGTTACAGCTCTGCAGTTTCTCGATGGTGTACGCTGTAAAACCGAGAGAAACTCTCACATCCGTTGTTCATTATTGAGAAATTTCGAGTCCATAAACTCGGGAAGTGATGTTTTTCTGCCAATAATTTCAAACGTTTTGCGCAACTTAAGAGTCGATCGCGATCGCTTCTGAGAAGAGGGTTGGAGTGGGTATTCCCCTAGCCCTACAGATAAAATACGCAAATAGGCATGAAAAGTACGCTGGGCCGACAGGAAGTAATTTCATAACATCTAAGTGGAGCTGAAAAAAGGTATTAGATTTCCAAAATCCGGAAGGGAGATATTGGTTTAAGTCTAGACTACGCTGAATTTTACAGATTTAGTTTCCAGCCTCTGGGCTGTCAAGGTTTGTTTTGTCTGACTGATATCAGAGAAATCCATATCTAGAGATCTAGAGATATGATTCAACTCCACTCTGCGGAGTGCGCCTAAAGGACGACGTGAGAAATTTCTAAAAAAAAAAAACTTTTATCTGACGCGAAAATGCGTAAATTCACGGTCATAACGGACCCCTCCCTCTTTTTGAAGCCTGCCGCTTATAAACTCGTCTACATTTTAAACAAAAACTACTTTGGTTTTATGCCCCCTCCCCCACGGAGATAAGCCCTTCTCTAACTTTTCTCGTTTTCTCAAAGCCATGACTTTCATTCAACAAGTAGAGTGTGGAACATATATCCACTTTCTATTTCTTCAAACCCCATTAAAGAAACGCTTTATATAGTGCGTGTTATATATTGTAGAAGAGTTATTAAAATCCGACCTACAGAGCAAATAAACAAACATTATATAACGTCAAATGGTCTTATTTATCGATTTATGTACCTCCGGTATCTGCTATTATAAAAAAAACTGGAATATTGGACTGAACACAGTTTAAGAGCTCTCATTGGTTTAGCCATTACAGTATTTATTAACAAAAGCCTCTATTTGGTGCGGAAATATGCAGCGAACAGTTTTCCGAGAGCACAGCTCTCGGAAAACTGTGAGCTTTTAGGAACAGATAATGCCCAAGGACAAATATCCGAGCATATTTTCGCGCCATGTAAATGAAGGCTATAGCGTTTATTATCCTTCAAATATTCTCCGCAACACGCGCGGTTTTGAAAAGTGGGGAATATCACTCGGATATTCCCCAGTTTTACCTGGGGCCTATTCAGTTATGTGATGCGCTTAGACAAACCGTGCGCGAGCGAAGATATTTGATGGATTATAAGAGCAATTTTACCATGCTGTACAAATATGCTAAGCTTACGCGTTATTTTACGGTATGCACAAATATTTATCGGCAATTGCTCCACACAGATCGAGGCGGAAAACTGTGAGCTTCAAAAACAGATAATGCCCAAGGAGAAATAATATCGGCCATATCTTTGAAGCTATAAATGGAAGATATTGTATCTATCATCCGGTCTCGAAATTATCTCACATGAGAGTGTTCAACGTCAATGCAAATAATCATATAGGTTTGTCGGCGATGTCGGTAGATGTAACAAATAAAACGCAAATTCAGTGAAAATGAAGGTTATATTGCCCTTAGGACTTACTTGATAATTTAATAACTGGAGCGTGCGAGTCAACTGGAAAGCTAGAAATGAATCGACACGAGGTTCGAAGTATACTTCAGGTATACGCGACCTATCTACTCAGAACTACTGATCGCTGGTTTCCACTGTACTAGCGACGGAGTCGTAGTCGGAGTCGTAATCAGAAGCGTAGAACGATATGCGATAGAATCCAATGAAATTCAAACCAGCGGATTCGGACGCAGAACACCGCTTCAGCTTATGACTCCGTCGCTTACGATCTCGTAAAAACTAGATTGTTTGAGTCAGAAGCAGGAGCAGAACAATAAATCAATCACCATGCTCGATTTCGGGCCTTGTGATTGGTTGGTTCTTTTCCGCTTCCGCTTTCGACAATCTAGTTTCTACTGGTTCATAAGCAACGGGAACGTAAACTGAATCGGAAGAAATGGGAACATTCTGATTCTTTCGATCCGACTCCGATTCCGTCGAGCTTACGACTCCGGCTACACCCTAACACTTTGACGACCACTGAAATGGTCGCCAAAACAATGCCGTTCTTAACCGTTAAATCAGGTTTTTGGCTGCCATGACGCTAAATGGGCCTTAGTTTTGCTGAGAAAGCCTTTTTCGCCAAACAGAGGAATGCACAACACACACTCTGCGGGTCGGTTTGAGAAAAAAACAACGGTCCCACATACTCACTTACTGGGGATGCAACCATACCGGTATCAAACTTTTACTCATCATTTTAATTTAGTAAAATAATTCGATCTTTAAAAATATGGTAGGATCCGTTAATATTAATATTCGGCAATCACCATGAGATGTCTAATTCAACACCACCATCAAAAATCTTAATTTGAATAGCTAGAAATCAATAGCTAGAGAAGCATACGGTATTTTAAAAAGCTATAATTTGTTAGGACGTCCCTGCCCCTTTACTTCGAATTTTTTGCCCTCTCGTACCTTTCGCAAACTTGAACCCAGAATGGGTAAAACTGCGCGAAAACGTTTCGCTCCTATGGAAACGTCTAGTTCGTAGGTAGGCTGCCAAGTAAAAGGAAGTGATTAATAGAAGATAATCGAGTAATTTGGTCCATTTAGCCAACAGAAAAAATCCAATCGCATACTTTCAGTCAAGAGATTATGATCTCAGATCATTATCTCTTGTCATGCAGTTCAGTCAACTATTAAACAATGTGGAAAAATTTCAAAATTTATGACGCTGAAAATAGCGAGTGTCCTTTGATTTTATGAGGAAGTGCATAAAATTCAGTCTTTCAAACTGAACCAAGTTAAAGTGCTAGAGTTCCGTTCAGGAAGTTGCTCTACGTACTTGAACTAAAAATAAAACTCTGATAAAGATATTGGGTAAATCATTCATGATTGCAATTGAAATATTGGCACCCTTAAAAGGCAATTACAGGTAAGAGATAAATGGTCAACGGTAGTGGAGTTTTCAGTCTGATGGAATCGTTTGAATAAATATGGAAGGCCATATTGTCTTGCGCTTCAGTTTGGCAAAGATTTAAGGAAAACGAAAAAAATAGAGATATCAATATCGCCCGTCAATATCCCGGGCATTTGAATCGTTATATCCCCGGTTGAATGGGGAGTTTGATTACATCCGTGGCTTTGGGATATGCCGGAAGATTTATGCACTCTTTTCTTTTAATAAGAATATTGTCTTTTTTTCTTCCAAGGCCGAATATTCTTATTTTCAACCGATTTTAGGCTGAAAATATTCTTGAGTATTCTTAGATTATCGGCGTATGACATTTCCATTCTTACTGTCTTTGACGGCGTTGAAGTGCTTTTGGGGACCGACTCCATTTTCCAGGCAATAAATCCTGATACATGGCACACAACATCTTACAGAAATGTTATTAGCACCGATCACACGGCTAGTGCTGTGTTTGTTGTTTCTTTGGCTAGTTTTGCCGTCTATAGAAAGGCGGACTTTTAAACGGTTTATTTAAAAAAACATATAATTGTATTATTGTATTTACAAATTTTCAACACACAAAATTAAGTTACTTTCAAAGTCTCGGGTTTATTCTTAAAATGTTCTTAAAATTTCGCATATTTCTGTCTCGATATTCTTATAAAATGTATTTTTATAAAAAAAAAAAGTGTAGTTTTGATTCTGGACTTCTGAATCCTTTTTTTAAGAGCAGAAAAAAAGCATTATTGTCACACAGTCGAGATTCAACAAAGTTATTCCATGGTAGATGTTTTATAACTGCATTACTCATTTTTGCCATCTTTGTTCAAAGGTAAGGCGCATTTCATAAAATAATATAACCCTACGGTGAGGTATTTACATTTAAATACAATGTTTAATTTAGCCAATGCATGGGATGCGAATTTGAACAACCGAACCTGCATCAAAAGTTAACATAAATATAGAAAAAAAATTGTGTATAAACAACGTTCTCGCCAGTTGGTTTCCCCTTTTAATTACTCGTCGCATCGAAGAAAAATTGAAATCTAAGATATCTACAACGCTAACAAACTTATCATAAAAGACGAGAAACAAAATTGTAAACTAACAAGCCTGCATTTATTTTATTAATTCACTTTTGTAGTTTAATGCTAGCAAAGAGCAGTAGGTAAACTATAAACGTATCAAAAAACTTTGAAGTACTACAAAACTTAATTATATCCTTATATTTGCTTTACTCTTCATTTGTCACAGTTCCAACTGGAAAGAACTGAGTTACAGGGTAATCATGGTAGTTTATATGATCATTACAATGCTATGTAAAAACTGCGTACTCTCGAATTGAGTGTTCTAAGCAATCACACTCAGCTGCAGTTAAAGTAAATTCAGCGATAGCTTAAAAGTTTCAGCTAATTCGTTCTTGTCAAAGTCTCCATCACTAGTTGGCAGTTTCATCCGCATCAACGCTCGTCTCCGCTTTTGGTTCCTCGCCCATTTGCTGGAATCCTTCATCTGTTTCCATGGTGATGTCAACGGATCTCTCCTGCGGCAGCAAAGCTGGATCACGTGATGCTTCTATGGTCAATAGGCCTTCTTTTGACAAGCGTGAGGTCACCGTGGAAAGAATCACGTCTTTTGGCAGCACAATACGACGGCTGTGATCGCGTGACAGATAAAAATCGTCACGCTCTGAGATGTGTTTCCCAGTGATGTTCAACTCATTTCCGTGGAGTTGGATCTTGATCTCTTCTGGTTTAAAACCACTGACATCCAACTTGGCCCGAAATTTGCCATCGTCAGCTTCTTCCTCCTCGGGTTTGGTGCCCTCGATTATTAGAGCCTGCCCATCTTGGCTAGCGCGTGACTTGACTGTTTTTGGATCAATACCCTGAGGAAGCTTGAAGACTCTCTTGAACTCGCTTTTCTCGAATCCATCTTCTCGTTCGAACTGATGCAATCCATGTAAGATGACCTTTTCGTTATCCACCTCAAGCGAGATTTCTTCAGGTTTGTAATGACTCAGCGGTACAGAGGCGATCTTTGTTGGTCCCTGATGAGAATTTCCTGCTTCCTGTTCGTAAGAGCGGGCGATCTCTTTCCATAGATCGTGGAAAAAGTCATGGCCTCTGGGAGCTCGGTTGTAGTAGCTGAGAGAAAGAAAAAAAAATGATTGATATCAATTATTAAATGAATGCAAAAAGGACTGAACATTGCACTAATCAAACCAGAAACTTGGAAAGTGCAAAATTTGGTGAAAACGCAACAGTTTTAATTTTAATTTAAAATATTCGTCATTATAATGGCACACGCGGGGTGATAAATCTCGTATATTACTGTTATGATTTAATATTGTAGACTTAAATCGTCGTTGAGCCAATTTGGAAATATAAAGGACATAATTAGCACACAAAAAGGCTGTTACTGGCTTATACGTTTGTAAAGCAAGTTTGCGTGAAGCTTAAAATACCTGTATGGGTGATAGCTTGGAAATCTGAATACGAGAGCCATGCTGTCCTGAACGTCTTCTCGTGATTTTTCCTCTTCGTGTATCTTGTTTGCCTTTTCTGAAAACTTGAACTGTTGATCGCAGTCTACTGAAAACCCCTTATATATCCGACGATCTTCTTCTAGAACGATCGAAAGTTACTAAAATTAAACCATTAGGTCAATGATTCGTAAGCCTGACTAAGCAAAAACAATTATTCTCTGGTTTTTACTAGCAAAAGCGAGAAATTTCTCGACAGAAATGGATCTCTCTAGATTTTGCTGGCAAAAACGAGAAATTTCTACTTTTGTATCACGCGCGAAAGGTATCATGGGGAAGTCTGACGTCACTTCAAAACAAAAATGGCGGCCCCTGAAGGAGAACGTTTTGCTGCGGGTTTTTGCTGCGATCTATTCGTCGAAACATCCCATTACAACGAATAGAATACCATGGAATTTATAGCAGCAGTGTCACAGTTCTCGTCTTGGTAGTTTTCTATAAGTGAAAGGTTCTACAGATCATCCATTCCGAAATCTGCAGCAAATGAGAAGCGGACTTACGACACTGATTTGACACATTACGCAGCATTTTCCGGTCCACCGAAAGTTTGAAACAACCAGTATATTGTAGTGAATTGAAGAAAGCGCTTCAAGGGTTGTGGGTGAGTAGGGAAAACAATAAGAGAATTAAGAGTAACCCTGCACTTTTGTAGACTTTCTTTGATGCGTTTAAATTTAAATTCTTGTTTAAAATTGATGCGCGGGAGTGGACTCCCATTTTAAAAGGACGGGGTTGTTGTCGCACCTTTTAGGGGTTAAAAAACATGGTTTTGGTAGTGCTCTTGGTACTTCTTAGGGTGTTCAGCCTCAAAAACTCCACAGCGGTTGCTTAAGTGGTACCTTGTAGGGTACTTGTTTTAGAATTGGTATCTCTTAGAGGAGCTTAGTGGAGCAAAAAAATATTCAAGCCACACCCACAAAACAGGGTCTTGGTACCNAATTAATAATTAACGCAGAAACGTCCTTGAAAAGTAGGCGGGATCGGGATTTCCAGGCAAAAAAGGGTGGTGTTCCTCTTGGTACCTCAGGGTGTTCAGTCTCAAACAGTCCACAACGGTTGCTTATGCGGTACCTTGTAAGGACTTGTTTTAGAATTGGTACCTTTTAAAGGTGCTTAGAGGTGCAAACAAATTCAACCCACACCCACAGAACAGGGTCTTGGTACCTCTAGTGCATTTCCCAGGGATTTAATCCTAGGAAAGTTGTGTGGGGGTGGTCAGTGAGCTTCTTGAAACCTTCACCCTATTTCAGACCAAATTTCGGGATTAACCATAATAATTATTGTAAATCCATATGCACCAACAATTATGGTTGGTGCATATGGAGCAAAACCCTAAAAAGATCTGAAAATGCTCAACAGTCAGAAAAGTTCAAAGACCTTCAAACCTAGCAATCAAGGTTTTAGTTTAAGCATGATTTTACAGCCAGCATTTTTCCAATCCAGCAGTACCTGGGCCAACCTCCATCCCCCATATTAAAAGTTGTGAGACTGCCAATGCCCCAAGTTGGACACAAATCTTACCATAAAAAGAAAGGAGTCAAAGGAAATTCTTCACCTCTGGGACCTGTTTCTTGTGGTCTTTCGAGAAACAGGCCCCTGGATTCATAGTTTAGGGCAGTACAAGTTGCAGACAAGAGCCACTCAGCAGTTTAATTTCTAGTAATCAAAATGGGTAGGAAAATTGTACCATGACTATTATGTCACCAGAAATGATTCTTCAAATGCAAATCACATTATCAATATTACAAGTGCTCCCCAGCTGCCTGAGAGATGTGTGGGACTCTGTGTGAGTTTTCTGGGTTTATAGTAGTGTCATGTTCCTGGGCAAGACACATCACTCTCATTGTGTTTTGAGAAAACAAAATCTGATGATTTAGGGTTAATTGTTGGTCCAGAGAACAAGAGACAGTCCAATCTACAGGCTTTCTCTAACAAAGAAATTTTTCTAGAATGTCTTACTTTAATTTAGTTGTGTGTTCTCTAGTTCTTTTTAACTGTTCTGTTTTCTTCTCGACTTGAACTGCAGATCATAACAGATTACTGCATTCAGCATTCCTCTCAGGATCACATCCTGCTTATTTTGCATATTGTGTACCTTGGATAATTCCATTAATTATTTTGCTCTGTCACGGCTGTGTTCCTTTTTCAAATTTAGAATATTACTTTTGAGAGCAGGGCTTTAGGAAGCACTGTCTCACTGCTCCGGGAAATTTAATGCAGAAAGACTTGCTAAGCGACAAAACATTGTTCTTGTGCTTCAAATTTTTTCTAAATGAAATCAATTTTGTGTGGACAACTAGCAGCTGCTTGTCCTTTGAACTGAACAAATCAGATGGAAACCCAAAACCCGTCCCCACCAACAAGAGCACTAGTTAGCAATTAGACACATGTTTGACCTTTTTTTATTTACTGCATACAAGGTGACTACAACGCTTTAAAATATAAGAGCAGATGGTAATCAGGAAGCACAGCAGAGATAAGACTTTATTAAAATAGATATTTCTCCAAAAAAGTGTAAAAGATGGTGCTAGCTAACACATGATTGAAAGAATATGGGTGACAACTTTTTTTTAACACTATCTCTTTCTCATTACTTTGCAGGACAAGGTTAAGATATTTAAGTAAGCCACAGAGCAAATAAACACGAAGGAGAAGAGAAAAAGATTGCTTTTCAGTTGTTATGAGTATGCTTTAGATCTACTCTAACATTTGCTTTTGAACAACTTTGATTAATACAACGAAGACGTTTTTTTTGCAAGCTTTATGTGACTTGACAAGCAATCTCCAGTTTTGAAGGTTAAAAGTCAAGACACAAGGTTGAATGCAAACTGTAACTCTGCTAAAAATATTCATATTAAATTATTTGACATCTTGTTGGGAGTAATTGATGTAATATTACACATATTACTAGTAAGAATGCATGTAAAAGTTTAGTTTTCCTTTTACAAATGCATTTCATGCTCACCAAGAACACAGTGCACCCCCCCTACCCTTCTCCTTACCCCAACCCCCCTCCATTAAAGTATGGATAAATTTCTGTTATGAATCGGCCTGGAGTTCCAGCAGTGTCTACCTGTGAACACGGACAGATTTTTGTCCATTGAACATGCCACTCTGTTTACTTCTTGCACTTAATAAATAAGCCATTTCCAAGTTACCTTTTTCCTCCGTTTCAAAACTAGTTCTCGACCAAAACCTTTCATATGAAAATGAGTTTGATTCACAGACAATAAACCTATATGGGGGAGGGTTGTTTATTACAAGTTACATGAACAATAGATCACAAGATTAAAATGCCATCTTACACTTTCACACACTTGGTGAATAATGCTGCCATCGGCAATTTGCAAGGCTGCCAGCACTTTGGCACAGATAGTTTTTCTTGGGGCCATAATTTTTATTATGCTTATTGCAGCGTGAAACTTCATCCAAACTGACCTCCCATATGAACTGCACAAAAAGGTTTAAATATTCTTTATTTTGTTCATCCATCAGCTTTTCATGGCCACAAGTTGTAGTCAACTCCTTCAACTACTGGGCATGTACCAGAAGGTCCATTTTATAGTAGCACAATCAACAAAAGCTATCCCAAAAAAATAGCAAAACACTACAATCTACCATTAAGGGGTAGAATACCTTGGATCATAACACCATTCACAAGTTTGGTCCCACCAATACCTTATGTGACACTTTTTTGGGGGTAGGGGGGGGGNACTACCATCTACCATTAAGGGGTAGATCATAACACCATTCATGAGTTTGGTCCCACCAATACTTTATGTGACAATTTTTTGGGGGGGAGGAGGGGGTGATTGGAGCTAAAGGGAGTGATCACAATGCCCTGAATGACAGCTCCAGTTTTTACACTAAGTATGTTTTGAGGAAGCAATACTATGTGTTGTTTAAAAATAATTCAGAGTTTTCAACTACATTATCTCTTTACACAATTCCCATACAAAGAAAACCCGCTGCTTGTATGAGTGACCCCAGTGCCGTAGTAAAAATGCATCAAACAAATTTTCCAACAAACTTCAACTATCTCTGAGATTCAAGAAACATCCACACAGAAATTAGAAACAGGCTGGGAATAACAGAGAAGGTTTGCGGGTGCACTTGAAAATCACAGCCACTGGAACTTAAATTCCTTCATGGGCAGAACAATGGTTTATGATGATCTCTGTTTTTGCAGCTTGGCCGGCAACTTGGACTTTGCCCTAAGAAGAAAGATAAAACAGAACATTTGAAACCGTTTTTGAGGAGTAATAGCATGTAATGCACCTGGATCATTTGAACTTTGCTTGTTCAGGGGAGGTCACTCCAAAGGTTCCTCAAGAAAGCTGAAGTGTCTGCTTCGTGTAGGCTTGTTTCACACCCTTCATTTCTGACTCCTACACTTGAGATTTTAGTTTCAATTAGATTAATACAGCAAACCTGATCTATAAAACATTGCAAAAAAAAAAAATTGTTGAGAACCCTAAAACCATATGGTTAAAAGTTCAAATGAAAGTTAACATTTTGTGACGATGTTTTGATGTTCACTTGAGATCATTATCAAGTCAAAGACGAGTAAAATTGTTTGGGAATATAAATGTAAAACAACTCCCACCAGACACGAAATAATATTAAAAAATGTGGTGATGATATAATCAGGTGTTGGCACACAGAATGACGTAAACACTTTGGCGCAAATACAGCCTTTCTGAGTGTCTAACACAGGTGTCAACTCTTTAATAAGGAACGTGTCAAAAGTTACGCAATCAAACTTCGATCTGCCCTTCTTCAAGACAGAGAATTGTTTATCCTCTAAAGTAGACTTACTTAGGCAAACCAGATTTTTAACCAGTTGGTTTTAATGGCTCCGCTAAGTTTTGGCCTTCCCACCACCTTGATCCAAATTTACATCAAAAGAACATTACACTAAGTTAGAACTACCTGGGATGGGATAAGCACAATAACCATACCGGTATTAAACTCTTACTCGTTATTTTAGTAAAATGAATATGGTAGGACCTGTATATTTAGAGATCAATATTCAGCAATCTCCAGGAGATGTC